TGCACACACTTGTTCTACTTCCTCTTCTACAACAATCCCTAAGCCTATGATGTAGAAGATGGGTTGGTGAGGTTTAGGTTTAACAACTCTGCATTTTGATCTGCTGTGATTTCTGTAGTGGTCTCCAACTTTTGCCAAGACAAGTTTTCTTGATGAATGGAGATAACAACACATATTTTTAAGTATGAAGACAAAGAGTTGGAGTGTAGTTAGAAATCATGCTAGTTAGTGGCAGTTGAATGTTTTCCTCCACCATCTATGATGTGAGAAACCCTGGGCATCTGACTAAGTTTCCTGCACCAGGCAGGATTTCCTTTTATTGAGAAGGCTTTAAATGAAAGGGTCAATTCATAGCATCTCCTAATATAAATATTCCTAACTTGGATTCCAATATCTTTTACAGAGAGCTGTAAATGCATCTTTCAACATTAAGATGTAAAGAATTTGAGACAGCTTGGCTTCCAAGGACTCAAGTGTTTTCCCTAATCATTAACCTGAACTACAGTCTATGCAACTGTGGAGGTGAAACTCACAGGCCCTCGCTGTGCGAAGATCCCTTGTATTAATTTCAATCATCATTAGTCTATTTAAACTAACTTTATTATTATCAGTTGGACAGTGCAGCTTAAGAAGAAATCATCTTCACAATAATGCACAGGTAAAACTGTCCAGTAGAATGGGATGTTTCCACATGAGAACACTGTATATATTTCAGGCAGTGGGGATCTCCCCAGACCCATTCACACTATGCCAAGTATCAAAGAAAGATGGCAGCAGCAAAAATGAAACAGAACAGCAAAAGAAAAACACATTCTGGAGTCTGATGTCCCAGTTTTGCCAATCAGAGATTCACCCATCAGGGATTTACTTCCGGGTGAGGTGACACCTGAACAGCACTTGCCCCCTGCTGCTGCTCTGATGGGGACACCTGCAGACACAGAGAAGTAAAATGCTGGGCTCTGCCTTGAAGTTCAGCTTCTCAGTCACTCCACATTTCTAGGGACAAATAGGTAAACGTGCAGCAAAGGAAAACTGAATTAGATGATCAAACAAGAAATACACAGACTGCCTGGAAAAGGCTCATGCATGTGATTAGCTGAGTGCTGGGATTCAGGCATGTCACATGACCTCCATACAGAAAGGGAGTTTCCAATCTCAGGAAGATGCTGCACACAAAGCATTAGCTCTGCAGGGAATTTTATATTCATCAAGGATGAGGTCCACACAGCAGTGCCAACTCCTACAGAAATGTGCATGGGAAAGCAATGTCACTTAGGTTTGTAATCCAAGACACGCAGAATTGAGTTGAAATTTTATTAAAATGAGTCTTTTGTTTGTAAAAGGGATCATAGTAGATGATTGAAAATGATGTAACTTAATACTCTTTATCCATCATTGCAAAGGGATATCAGGAGATTATTGGAAATTCATCTAATTAAATAACGTTTTCCCCAACATTAACATTGTGATCTGATTCCTCCAGCACATTCACAAATAACCCAAGATCTGCCATCTCCAGGCTCCACTACAGAGCTTGCTATAAAGCAGGAAGACATGCAAATGGGCCCTCTCTCTGCTCAAGAAAAGCAGCCCAGTCCTGACCTTACAGCTCAGACAGAGGAGCTCAGCTGTGTATCCCAAGACTTCACTCAGGGATCAGCATGCAGTTGGGGCTGAGCTGCATTTTCCTTGTTGCTCTTTTAAAAGGTAATTTATGGAGAGCAGTAGATGCTGACTGTGTGAGTGGACATTAATATGAGGGACAATGGACATGTGCGATGATTTCTGGACCAGGATTTTTTTTGTGTTTTCAGGAGTTCGGTGTGAAGTGAAGCTGGTGGAGTCTGGGGGTGGCCTGGTGAAGCCTGGGGGATCCCTGAAACTCTCCTGTGCAGCCTCTGGATTCACCTTCAGTGACTACTGGATGAGCTGGTTCCGCCAGGCTCCCAGCAAGGGGCTGGAGTGGGTTGCAGAAATTAATGGAGACAGCAGTACCACAAAGTATGCACCGTCCGTGAACGGCCGGTTCACCATCTCCAGAGACAATGACAAGAACACTCTGTACCTGCAAATGAACAGTGTGAAGTCTGAGGACACCGCCACTTATTACTGTGCTAGAGACACAGTGAGTGTTCTCAGTGTGAACCCAGACATAAACCTCACTGTGAGGCCGCTTTCAGTCACCAGGGGGCGCACAGCAAACACTGAACTCAGGTCCATTCCAGGAGATTATGCAGACAGGGTTAGATGAAGCACCCATCAGGTGTCTGGGCTGCACTTTTTCTTGCTGTATTCTGGAAATTCTGTCTCCACGTGTGATGTGAAGGGATACAGTGTCCTCAAAACATTACATGTTCTCTTTGTACTATTTTAAAAATATGAAGCACAGTCCCCCATAACAAAATGCAAACCGACAGCTATGAGGACATAAAGGACATTAACACAGTCACTGAAATCACATGATAAGGAATTCCTGGACTTTCCTGAGTCCTTTCTTACTCTAGGCAGAGTGTTGTTCGGATTTCTTGATTATAATACTCATAAATTTGTGTGTAAGTGAAAACCAAGGGGAAGGTTCGGCCGAAATCATTACCATCAACCCTAGCAGGCCGGGAACCTTCCCCGAAACTTCCCTCCTCTCCTCTAACTGAGGACTGTGCGCTGTAATCCAGATGTGACCCAGCTGTGCTTTTAGCTAACTCAGTTTATTACTGCAGGACTTTCATCTCTGTTCATTGTGGAAATTTGTTTTAACTGATCCCTTCAGTTGTTGAAAGATGTGAATGAGTCTGGTAACTATGGTTTCAACACTGGGGGACAAAGAGATTTGTCATTGAAGCTTAGGGGCAGGTCATTTCTGCTGAATTGATGAGCTTCATGTTCAGTTAGAAACCCTATATTAAAGAAGGGTTATAAAGTGGGAGGGGAAAGACAGCCAATAACAACTATTGCCTCTGTATGTGTGTATACACACAAGCACACTCATCTGTGTACACAACTGTACAAACCCACAAGACTTTAAAACAGCACACAGGGGAGGCAGAGAAAGAGAGAGAAAGAGAGAGAGAGAGAGAGAGAGAGAGAGAGAGAGAATGAAAGCAAATAGTAAAATTGGTGTTCCATAAAACACCAATTTATGGAATTTCTACAAGAGTTTTTGAACAGGTAGTCCTTGCCTTATTGTCTATGATGTCTACTCCAGAAATCAATGGTTGAAGGTTGAACATGTGTGGCATTTCAATGAAATACCATGTTGTCTCTCAACATGTAGCATGCAGTTTCTATGTCACAATGTGTATAAATCTGAAAGAGACTGAACATGAAAAGAAACACAGACTATTATGCCATACATCACATTTCAGTCTCAGTGATAATCAAGGACAGACAAATCCTAAAGAAGCACTGTTGAATGAGTACGGGGACCTGGGAACATGTGTGTGCACAGGGAATGCATGGATTTCTTTGTGTCTGAAGCTATGTTCAGAAGTAGAGAGCTGGGGTCTCCCCAGCATTGTGAACGCTGTAATTGGCAGGTTTCTGCTCACATAAATGGTTGCTCATGTGAATTTCACACAAACCTAGAACTTGATGAAGATAGAGAATTAAATGAAAAACAGTGATTTGAATTGAAATTAATAAACCTATGAATGGTACAGTGAATACATCTGTACACTCCCATGGAGAAAAAACACATTTGAATTCTGAATGAGGCTGTGGGTTCATGCCAGAGAGATATAGAATCACAGAGGACACAAGAGACAAAAATGTCCATTCTCTTTCCTGTGTGAGATGTGGAGAGAACCATCTAATTCCAAGTCTCTAAGCTATGTCACTGACTGTGACAGATCTGTGCCCCCTCAGACCAGAAATCATTTAGCATCATGATTGACATTATAAGAAATATTGAAACATCCAACACAGGGGAGATCAATATCTGGAGAGAGCAACACCTAAATGCTCAGTAGAGGAACTGTTTCACATGGCACAAGAAATCACCATTGCTTATGTAATTATCATGCTAATAGCAGAAGTAAACAAAAATGATTTAAAGCATAGTCTGAAATTATCAGAAAATTATGTAATTCTGAAGTCTTTTCTTCCCCGTTTCCACGTCATGGATTGGCTGTGAGACAGGACTTTATTCTGGATAAAGGGAGCCATCATGATGATCTGACCATCAGCCTGGGGCCAGCATGCTGTAGGGAGTCAGTGTTCCATCGGGGCGCACCAAATAGACTTTATCCTTGAGGAAATGCACAGAAGGCCAGAGAGCACTTCCTGTGAGCCCTGGCTTCATCTCCCAGCCCAGTGTGCAGAAGAAACTGCAGGACCTTGGAGCTGGCTGTTGTTGGCTTTAAACACCAATAGTCACAAGAAAAAAGCAGACTGCATTGCTCTTTAGCATCCCTCATCCTGTGAAGAAATCCCTGGGCCCTGTGAGCTGTGACTTTCATCATTCTCTGTCCTTCTTCCCTTTCTCCAGGATGCTCAGCATCTGAGAGAATTGAGATAACTGACCATGTCTCTGCTACAGGTTATATTATCTGCTGCTGTTGTTTTTAAAGTTTTCAGAAATAGACAGCAGTGTAAACATGAAGCTGCCCATGTTGAATAATAGAATATCAAATATGTGAGGCAGGAGATTGACAGATTAGTAAAGTCAATGAAATACAACTCTCTTCCATGCAATTACAGACTGCATAACTGCCAGCCTGTAAATGACACACACTCTTGATTGCTGAATTCACACAGTTATCATCAGATGTGTTGCCTACTGAGGACCTGGGTCTTCTCATGTGGGCTCCTTTCTATGGTGAGCAGAAGTGAACTTCCCTGAGACATCCTGTGTACCTCATCTCACCCCAGCTCCCCCTGAGACCCATAATTTAAGTCCTCCATCAGAGTCAGCTCCTGGTGAGGGAATGCAAATCTCTCCTTGCTCCACCCAAGCATAGGCTGAAAAGGCAAAGCTGGGCCTGGGCACTCACTGGTGTGCAGCCATGGCCCTGTTTGCCTCCTTATTCCTGCTGCTGATTGGGCCTGCATGTGAGTACCATGGATTCCTACTGTATGATCTCCCATAATTCACTCTGTGTCAACCTTACCTTCTACTTTTTCCTCCACAGATGTCTTATCCCAGGTTACCCTGAAGGAGTCTGGACCTGCGCTGTTGCAGCCTTCCCAGACTCTCAGTCTGACCTGCTCTTTCTCTGGGTTTTCACTGAGCACTTCTGGTATGGGTGTGAGCTGGATCCGCCAGCCCTCAGGGAAGGTTCTTGAGTGGCTGTCAGACATTTGGTGGAATGATGAGAAGTACTACAACCCATCCCTAAAGAATCGGCTCACAATCTCCAAGGATACCTCCAAAAACCAGGTGTTGCTCAAGGTCACCAGTATGGACACTGCAGATACTGCCACATACTACTGTTCTCAGAGAGCACAGAGACACAGCCTCGGCTGACAGCTGTACCATATTTCAGGGTTGTTCTCCTCTGTTTCTTCCTAATGCAGGGCAGGGTGCTTGTGGCTGTGGCACAACTTTCCTGTGAGTGTTTGGGGTTTCCTCTTCACTTTGAGCTTCAGAGCCTGGGTTTCCTGTCATATGCCCTAACTCCCTGTTAAGATGATCAAAAATGAGGGTCTGTCTGTGTTTGGGTTTATTAGGATGAAGTGTGCCTGGTCTCTAAACAAGGTGCTTCAGAGCACCTTAGGTCCACTGAGTCTTAAACCTCAATCTTCACGGCAAATTTCAATTTGTTGTAATGCTCACCTTCAGTAAACAACTGGATATGTAGAAGATGGCTATTCGTGGATACACATTCTCAAGTTGAGTCATTGGCCAAAGAATCCTATTGAAAACACAAAAATATTTCAGGCTACTACTGGTTGCTCCCCACAAACTGATGATAACACCCTATCATTGAAGGCACTGCTTATGTATTTCAGTGAGCAAAAATAATTTGAGCTTGAGCCCAAGTAAATACATCACCTCTCCTGAGGAGCATTCGCCAAGTTGGATGCACTTAGTATGCTATCAGCCAACAAATATGTTTATCCTTACAATTGATGGGGAGTTGGCAGAGAACAACAAATGGACACTGTGTGCAGATGAGAGACTTGGGAACCCAGGGTCCTAAAATGGCGATCTTCAATAACCTTCACCTCAGGACCAAGGAAACAATGTAGGGGCAGAGGTGGAAATATTGCAAGACCCAGAGGTGATGGGGGACTCCAAAGAAACAGTCTCCTCTGGACACAAGGGTCTGATGGACACATCAACTCAGGGAGACTGTAGAGGCAAGCACACAGTGTGCCTATGTGCAAACTGATTGGGTCCCAGTGCTGAAAGGAGAACTGGACATGGGCTACCACATCTAACCCAGAAGCTACCTGAAGTTGGTACCTAATGGCATAATTAGTCTTTTCAGATTATCTCCCTGGTCTATATGAGGGCTCTTGAAGTTAAGCCCTATTTCCAGGAGTTAGATAAACAAAACTAACACAATGGCATATTTGTTCAGTGATTGTCTCTTTTTAAATAACTTTGTTTAGGATTTTTTGTCTTGTTAAACTTTTTATTGTGGATTTGCATTCCAATTTTGTGTTTCTCTCTCTCTTTCTCTCTTTCTCTCTCTCTCCCTCTCTCTCTCTCTCTGTGTGTGTGTGTGTGTGTATGTGAGAGGGAGAGAGAGAGAGAGATTCACTCCATAGCTCACAGCTAATTGTGTAACATTTAAGAGAACCCTCTGAAGCAGGCAACAGATATTTGCTCTTCAAAGTTTGTGTGAGGAGATACCATACCTAGAGGATAGTAAGGAATTCAACTGACATAACTTTTCATTCACTGCAACCTGATGAAAAAGCAAAAGCTATTGGATTTTAATAAATGTAGATTTTCCATATCCAGAAATAATTCTAAAACACACTGGATATTTATGTAGGCAGTTTGTGCTGAGTAAATGTGTTATTTACTACTGTGTGTGAAACACAGTGAGTAGTAATCTTTGGGATTCCAAACATAGACTTCTCTCTGTGGGGTGGTGAATACCAGAAAGCAGCAGTGTTCAGCATTTATGGACTAATAGATACCCTAGGAGCATGTCAGACAGTGTAACTGTCTCCTTGTGGTTTTGCAATTGCTTTTCCTATGCAACTGATGCTGAATTAAAAGTAGTGCATGAAATAACAGTGAGTTTACAAAGCACCCTCCTGTCTTCCTCCAACTGCAAAGTGGGATTGATCAACATGTTGAAAAATTTTGAAGTTCCTCATGCAGAAATGAATGTATTCTACAATTACAGTAATTTCAGTAGTTAATATGACTGCAAGAATTTAACTGAGGGACTATTCAGGTAGCGGCTTGAGAATTCTACTGGAATCACCTCATCATCTTATCCTTCAAGGAAGAGACCTCAGGCTTCCAAGCTAGTGATGATTCTGGGGAATATGAGGAAACATTCAGTACAGGTTGGTGAGTCATGGCATCATGAGTGGAGTTGTCTCATGATGTCAGACTTCATATTTACCATATTACTGTCCTCCTTCTGTGATGACACTGGCATTTCCAAGAACGCCTAGTGTCTGTGATTTCAGAACAGAGTTCACTTTCAGTGAAGAAATGTCTGGTTACTTCTCTAATTGCTGAATCTTAGAATTTATCAAATTCTATTTTTTCCAACTCTTAAGCCTACCATAGGCAAAGCGTATAATGGCTTGTTTAAGTGAAGTCTCTTGGCAGAAGACAGTATCTATACCTTATAATTGACTCTGTGTTTTTCTGGAACTATAGAGCTTCATAAGCAATGAATTTAATTTTTGTAGATGCCTATCAATGTGGAAACTCGTTCTCATGAGTGTTCTCATAGAATTGCACATTTTTGATGATTTACAGTAATTTATTTGTTATCAGGTATCCCATTCTTAAGAATTAAAGATTGGGTCCAAGTCTAATAAGCTTTCACAGACATTTCCCTTGATTTGTACAGTCTAGGTATTTCATCAGGAGACATGCTCCTCTCACAATGCTGACCTATGATGTAATGGAGGAACGGAGTGTAGAAGTCATCTGTAATCACCTCCAAACATAATTTGCAGAGCAGACACTCCAGACATCTCCAGAAACAGATTTCTACTGCTTCTTGTTCCAGATGAGATATCTGATCACTGAGGACACCATAGTGTCTCCATCTGTTGGAGAATCAGAATGAGACATTATGATCCAGGTCCCAGAAGCATTCCTGTCTGCAAAGGGACTTGGGACATTCAGTGGTTCAGCAGCAGAAAATGGAAGCAGCACAGGAATGGAAGAAACTGTTGGGAGTTTATGATTAGTGAAAGAGGGTCCAGGCAGAGAAGTGAGAAATAATCCTCAGAGTGAAGTTTAGATGAGAATGCTAGGAATCAATGTGTGCATATTTTCAATGAAAACCCTACACAGTTTCACACACATTGCACCCACTCAGCACACATCGTGACACATTAATCTACCTCAGGAGAGGGCACTCACACCATCTCTCTACCATCCCACAGAGCCCAGATATTTGTCAATGAATTCCATTGTGAGAGGAGGCTGTCTCTGTGAACCCACACAGAGGAAGAAGGCAAAGACTCCTGTACATTGTCACCATGACAGCCATCAGCACAGAACCATTATGGACTATGAAGTGCATCCTTACCGTTGACATAACTCAGACCAGATCAGAAGAAGCTGAAATTCCAGGGTAAGCTCATACAGCACTCTGATTGCAGGGACAATTCTTCTTTAATAAGGTTACCACTATGAGCAGAAATTCTTCTGACCAATGATAGAAGGGAAGCCATGTAACTGACTCGTTCCAGCTGCTTCTGTCTGGTAATGTTAAGCACAACTGATTCATGATTGTGAAGTTAGAAAAAAAAGCTGAAGGAATAGACTGGCTTTCAGTTGCACAAATATTTGACTTTATATGTGCAGTTATGCTTCTGATATTTAAACAGACATACACACAAAATCCTGTGAGTGATCTTGGCTTCTCTCATTCCTGGAAGCACATTTCAAATGCATCCTTCATATTGAAAATATTAAGTCTTGACAACCTTTACTAACACATTCTCTGTCTAGGAATAAGAGGACGCTGAACGTGGAAATGTAAACAGAATGAGATAAAGGTGTCTAAGGAGACCTACCCTCTAGCCATGCAGATCCTTGTAAGAGACAACTTCTCTCTGCTTTCAGTGCTGTAAATACATCCAAGTGCCTTTTGGGAAATATATGAGTCACAGTACAAATTGACTTGACTTTTACCCCTTTCTCAATGAGAATATGTTACTCTCGAGTTGTTAACTTGTCTGTGAGAACAACAGTTGCTCGTCCTCTTTCTGTTGACTCCTGTAACTGAGTGTCTCAGGAATCAGGCATGGATACATGGGTCTACATCTGATTGGTTGCTGCTCTACTCCATGCATATCTTAAGTCCCACAGGTCACATTCAACATATAAAACTCTATGTTCACATGAATCAAATAACAGTACTGTCATTTTCAATCCAATGCTCAACAGTTTCTGAAGATGAATTGGTAGTTACAGTTCATATAACACATGCTCTGTCTAACGTGCTTTTCACTTCACATGTCACAGTGATGTACGAGAAGATAGAGACACGCCCACAGCACTGATTGGAAATTTATTAAATAGACTCCCAGGTTGACTACAGCTGAGATCTGGATTTTGAGTATTATGAAGTAGTTCAGAGAAATGGTCTGAGTTCATGAGTTACTCTAATACAACTTTACAGTAATATTTTCTAATTTTAAGCCCTTATAGGCAGGGAGAGTTGATCTATATTTATATAAGGTTTTGTTGGATTAAATTCCTGCATTTTAATTTTTGTACTGCATAGTCCACCCTTGTCCTCATTTTTTTATTGCCTTGGAACCAGAAGTACATCAAGTACATCTGAAAATTTTAGGAAAAATGTTTATATCCACTGCAGCTCCTACCACAGAATTAAGACAGAACACCACAGGTTTATGTCCTCCATGAACAAGGCGTCTGAAACAAACATCAGTGATCCTGGTTAGAAATGAAGTTCTCTCTTCAGAAGAATCTGGTTCCTCCCTTCCCTACACTCAGGAATCAATGAACCTTGCATCTCTGAACTTCTGGCTCCTTCACCCAAAATTGATACCCAATGAGGTATGTCCTTGTGGATATATGTTTCTTTTATTGATTGATGAATAAATCACTGTTTGGCCAATAGAGGCAGGATGATAGGCAGAACTAGGAGGCGAGGAGAACTCTGGAAAATGTAGGCAAGAGAGACCACAGAGAGAAACCATGAAGGTCTTGATGTTACACCCACAGCATGTGCACAGACCTGAGGGAAGGGTAAGGATGCAATTCCTCAGACAGGATGAGGATTTGGACATCAGCATCCTTTGTTGGACCCAAATGTCCTCTACCTCCTTCTTTCTCAGATGGACTAGGTCTTATTTAAAGAATTTCTCTGTCCATGATTATGCAAAGCATGTGAGTCTATGGTGGTAAATACTGGGATGTCCACACCAACAACAACATATGAGCAGTGTTCTCTCCACAGTAACTGAGCACACAGGTACTCACCATGGGATGGAGCTGCATCATTTTCTTCCTATTGTCAGTAATTACAGGTAAGGTATTTCCACTTCCAAACACGAGGAAGCGACAGGGACAAAGGTGACAATGACATCTACTCTGCCTCTCTCTCCACAGGTGTCCACTCCCAGGTCCAGCTGGAGCAGTCTGGTCCTGAACTCGGGAAACCTGGGGCCTCAGTGAAGCTGTCCTGCAGGGCTTCAGGCTACACTTTCACTGACTACTATATTAACTGGGTGAAGCAGAGGCCTGGACAGGGCCTGGAGTGGATTGGAAGTATTGATCCTGAAAATGATGTTACTGGCTACAATCAGAAGTTCCAGGGCAAGGCCACACTGACTGCAGACACATCCTCCAGCACAGATACATGGAGCTCAGCAGCCTGACATCTGAGGACTCTGCAGTCTATTCCTGTGCGAGAGACACAGTGTTGAAACCACATTCTGAGTGTGTCAGAAACCCTGGAGGAGCAGGAAGCTGCCCTGGGACTGAGATGACAGAGAAGAGTTGCCTGAGACCTCGCTCAGAAATATTCAATCTGAGTCTCCCTTTGTCACTTTACAAAGTCTTACCAATTTCTCAAAATTAAAATTGTGCATGAGCTGAGTGCACACCATACCTTGACAATCTCTTCACCAGTGACCATCTCTACTGACACATTTTTCATTAATAAAACAATAAAATTGAAATTATGATCATGCATTATGAGAAAACTATTTCTGGATTCTATGAGACTGGGATCTTTGTTGGTATAGCTTTTAAAAAATCTGAAATATGAATTTGACCAGCAAAGTCCAAATAATAACGTCTGGGCAACAAAAACCTTTTCATAGTCTGAAAGTTAACATGACATCAGCGGTATCATTAACTCTGTCTGTGTGGTCCAGCTGAGGTTCCACTCTTAGAATGTCATATGTATCAAAATGCACTGCCACACAAGATAAATCCTGTAAGTTGTTCAAGCGTATTATTATATTACCTTTCACTAAATCACTAATCATATTAGAGAAAAGTTGTAGGTGTACTAGCTGTGATAGTTTGAATATTATTGGCCACCATGATGTCACAGGACACTATCAGGAGGTATGACTTTTTCAGTGGGTATGGCATTGTTGGAGGAATTATGTCACTGTGGGGAGAGGGTTTGAGGTTTCCGGTGCTGAGAATATCACCCAGTGTATCAGCCAACTTCCTGTCCACTCTAAGATGTAGGACTCCCAGCTACGTCTCCAGCACCATGACGGTCTCCATTCCTCCATGCTCCCTGCCATGAAGATAATGGACTGAACCTCTGAATCTGTAAGGGAACTATACCAAACAAGAATTTATTTTTTAAATAAGAGCTGCTATGGGCATGGTGGTTCTTCACAGTAATAGAAAACCTAAAACAGACAGAATTTAGTACCAGAATTGGGGTATAAATAGTATTCCTTAAATCTTGAGAGTAAAGATGAGTTTGTTAGCAGAAGACTTGTAACCTAAACACAAATCAGAAGGTGTGTGAGGAGTTACACTCAGGATTGTCCTCCAAAATCTGCCCATGTGGCTTGACACAAAAACCAACATTCACACAATTTTTGTCAAAGCACATGTACACACATATGAGTGTGTTACAAACACAAGCACAGAGAGGGATAGGGGTGCCACCATCCAGTCCCTGCCTGAGTTCATGTCCTGACATGCGGGAGAGGCATTGGCATGAAGAAGTGAATTGTCAGATCACCAGAAGAATTTCACAGGTAGCCTGCTCTGAATTTCTCCAGCTATCTTTATTTATACATCAAAACAAGAATGGTTCTCAAAAAAAATGGATTTCCTTACTAGTAAACAAGTTTTTTCCCATCTTCTCACATTAACCTCCAGTAAAAACAAATATGTCAATTATTTTCCCAACTTTTACATCAAAAGATCTTTTACCCAAAATCAAGACTTACCATTTTGCTACACTGGCCAAATGCCGAGCAAGGTACATCCTGTCTTTACAAAATTAAAAATGATATACATAGACACACATTTCCAAGAAAATGTCAATCAAAGCATCTTTACAGAAACGAGGTGATCCACACTGGTACTGTCAGCCCTGAATCACAACAGCTCCAGGCATCTGGAGGGACACCTGGCATCCCAGACAGGAAACCTGGGATGAATCAGGTCCCACATTATTTTAGGGGAAGATATTAGAGAAAAATGTGTTTTGCAGGAGTGATCACATCTGACCCAGGCATGGTTGTCTACAGTCTCAGTTTTCCCACGAGTGAATGTCTCTAATAGGGTCTAGGTGAATACAGTTTTCACACAATGCATGGTGGAGATTTGTACCCTCAGGTAAAGAAGATTTTCTTATTCACTGTCTCATGTAGTGTTCCCTCTGCAGGTGTTTCTTTCACCCTCAAATTGTGGGGGATTCTGAGTGACGATTGTGCACATCCCAGGTGATATCATTTATAGTCTCTGTGACAATGCCCTTCCCACTGACAACAGAGTTCTGTCATTATAGTTTTCTGATTTTGTGGTGTTTTCTTATTAACACTGTTACTGTAATGGAGCTCTTTGATGCAGCTGAAGGTTGGAAGACTGGAGTGATGTGTTGATAGAAAAATTGTGATTACCAGTACTTCTTTATTGTTGAGGGGGAGGGAGAAGGGGAGAGGAATGGGTAGGGAGAAGGGGAGGAAGAGTAAGAGGGAGAAGGAGAGGAGGAAAAGCAGAGAGAGAGAGAGAGAAAGTGATCTGGAGACCTGCTTGGGTTTTTCTTAGATCCCTAGAACTGAGGCTAGAAGTTTATCATCAAGCTGATTCCTTTTCAGTATTTATTCCTGAAATGTTCACATAACTCTCCTTTTCCTCATTTATATTTTGGAGTTCCAACGCAGCAACTTCGACTTCCCTTGTTGCCTCTATACTCTCAGTTCTCTTCTCTCCTCTTCCATTTTTTTAAATTACATCTTAAGTTTGCTGCTCTGCATCACATGTAACCTTAGGCTAACTGTAGGCCACACTGTCCCCTATGGATGGAATCTTCCTGATTCTCCCCTCTGACTGTCTCATGCAGCAGGGTTTGCTTCTAACAGGTTCAGCTACTTTATGCTCACCATGTCTACCTAGATCCGAGTGTCTGAATTTTGTAAATTGGAATTTCCCAGTATCCATTGATCGTCAGTTTCTGTAATGTGCAGAATTTCAAGAGCTGACCTGCATTCTGCCACCTTTGCTCATGTTGATAAACAGTGAGACCAACACTTTTCTCTGATGACATCCCAAAGCTCAGCTGGTTCACCTACAATACTGGAAACCGGAGTCCATTCGGTTTGAATCAGTGAAGTAACCGATAAAAACCTCTTGTTCAGTTGTCCTGTCAGCATGTCAGTCACCACTAAAGCAAGAGAGGCTGCACACACAGCAACTGTTGTCATCTGTGATGAATGGAGCTGAGTGAGAAGTCAGAAAGAAGCCCATCCTCAAGTCAACACTCATGGCCTTTAGAAAACGGAAAAAAACTTCGGCACTTCAAGTAACATCAGGACTGGAAAGTGCTTGGCACAGGGCATGGAAATAGCTGAGAACAAAAGGAGGAGCAAGGAAGGGTGGGTTAGGATGAGGTCATCCTTCTAGCAGTCCTGTGCTGGCACATGGAAGACGTAGAGAAGTCAAATGCCGGGATGTCCACTGTGTTCAAGTATCAGTCACTCCCCATTGTACTGAACAAACAGGTAAATGTGCAGGGAAAGAAGAACTGAGTTAGATAAGAACAGAAGTATTTCAGTCTCCTGGATACACACAGGTATGGGCAGGCCTCTCCAGTCTCCTAGATGAACACTGGAATGCAGGCATGCCACATCATCTCAGTACAGAAAGGCTCCATCAGGGCTGCAACCCACACAGCAAATATAATAGCTTCAGAGCTTGTGGAAAAGCAAGGACCCACCCTCTGTAATGGAGGACATGGAGATTTTTTTTTGAAATTCATGTGAAAGTGCATCTTTTGTTTGCTTGTATAAAACCAAACAGATGAAACTTAGTATGTACTAAGGAAGAAAATAATGCATTATGTTACAAAAATATTCCAACTATTCTCTTTATTCCAGACTCCCAGAGCACATTCACATTTATAATAGGATCCATCATCTCTAAGATCCAGATAGGGAACTTGCTATATAGCAGTAAGACATGCAAATAGGGCCTCTCTCTTCTCATGAAAACCAGCCCTGCACTGATGCTAAAGCTCAGACAAAGAGATCATCCCTGGATTCCCAGGTCTTCTCATTCAGTGATCAGCACTGAACAACAACCACATCATGGATTTGTGGCTGATTTGGGTTTTCCTTATTGCTCTTTTAAAAGGTAATTTATGAAGAAGAGATACTGGGTCAGTTAATGGAAATGAGCAGGACAATATAAACTGGAGCTTGTGTGACAGTTTGCTGACAAGATTCTCTGTGTTTGCAGGTGTCCAGTGTGAGGTGCAGCTGGTGGAGTCTGGGGGTGGCCTGATGCGGCCTGGCAGTTCCCTGAAACTCTCCTGTGCAGCCTCTGGATTCACCTTCAGTTACTACTGGATGGACTGGGTCCGCCAGGCTCCAGGGAAGGGGCTGGAGTGGGTTGCAGAAATTAATGGAGACAGCAGTGACACAAAGTATACACCGTCCTTTGTCATCCTGGGCTTGGCCTGGTTGTTTCCCCATGTGTCCAGGGCAAGAGTGTATCCCTTCACGTGGGATGGGCTCTTAAAATCCCTTGTTACACCAGGGGAAAATACTAATCCACTGCCAGGGGCCCCCTGGAGTGCAGAGGCCTCCTCATTGACATATATGCTTATTACTGTACTAGGCCCTCCACAGTGAGGAGATCTCAGTGTAAACCCAGACATAAACCTCACTCTGAGGTCGCTCACTGCCACCAGGGGGCGCACAGCTCACACAGAAAACAGGTTCAGCTCAGGATTTCAGGATTTTTTTTTTTAATTAGTTCAAATTAGGAACAAGCTTGTTTCAAATGTCGATCCCTCTCCCTCTCCCACCCCTCACCCCCACCCCAAACCTTCTCCCCACCCCATGCACCCTCTACTCCCCAGGCAGGGTAGAGCCCTCAACCAGGGCTCTGCAAAGTCCACCATGTCATCCTGGGCTTGGCCTGGTTGTTTCCCCATGTGTCCAGGGCAAGAGTGTATCCCTTCACGTGGGATGGGCTCTTAAAATCCCTTGTTACACCAGGGGAAAATACTAATCCACTGCCAGGGGCCCCCTGGAGTGCAGAGGCCTCCTCATTGACATATATGTTCAGGGGTCTGGATCAGTCCTGTACTGGCCTCCCAGACAGCAGTCTGGGGTCGATGTCCTCCCCCTTGTTCAGACCAGCTGTTTCTGTGGGTTTCTCCAACCTGGTACCCTGAGTGAGGTAACCCAGTCACAAAAAGACAAACATATGAGTGAGTATGTATGAATTTTAGGCAGAGCAAAGGATAACCAGCCTACAATCCTCTTCACCAAAGAAACTATGAATCATGAAGGACTCTAAGAGATAAAGGAATGGACCCCAGGAATGGGAAGAGGCAGGAACCCCTGTGCTAATTGGGAGCATGAGGGTAGAGTAGAGGGAGCTGCCAGAGTGAGAGCAGGAGAAGAGGAGTGGAGGAGAGGAAATGGAGGAGCAGAAATATTGAGTTGGGGGGCTGAATAGAGGAGAGACAGCAGGATGAGAGATTTCATATTAGAGGGAGCCATTATAGGTCCGAGGAGAGATCTGGCGCTAGGGAGATTTCCAGAGACCTACAAGGATGACACGAACTGACAGTCCAGGCAATGGTGGAGAGGATAACCTAAACACCCTTCCCCTAAAATGAGATTGATGACTACGTTTTATGCCATCCTAGAGCCCACATCCAGTGGCTGATGGAAGCAGGGGCAGACATCCACAGAAACACACTGAACTGAACTCCTGATCTTAGTTGAAGAGAGGGAGGAATGAAGATCAGCTCAGGATATTATGCAGACATGATCCACTCTGGTGTCTAGATTGCATTTTTTTCTAAGCAGTTTCTCCGCATTTCTCTCTACATGAATGTACTGCATGGCTCCTGTTGCTAAACACTGAGAGCAACACTGTTCTCCCATGATATCCCAGAGCTCACCTGGGTCATCTACAGTTCTTGACCCTGGAGCCCATTCAAATGTGAATTAGTAAATTAACAGATATAAGAGCCACAGGCTCAATTGTCCTGTCAGCATGTCAGTCACCACTCAAACAGTGCAGGCTGCACACAAAGCAATCTGGTGTCATTCTTCATAATTAAATATATTGACTGAGATGTCAAACAGACGTGCATCCTGCTTGTTAACTTCTGTAGACTCAAGAAAAGGAAAACCTAACTTAAGGACACCTGGTAAAATAAGGACTTATAACTGTCTGGGATAGAGCATGAAAGAGACTGAGAAACAAAAGACAATTGGAGGAGTGTTGGAAGTGAGGCTATCCTTCTGGGAGGCTGTGCAGGTCACCTGGAAGACTTGTTTCCTGCCTGGGGGACCAGACTCCAGCAGCACAAGGCTCTAACAGAATCCATGGAGTCAGAGTACTATGACATTTTTATCTGAGGGTGTTGAGGGAAAAAACATGCACACTCTTGATGGTTTCCTTCTTTATGCTTTTCCTGTACTCTTTCTTCTGTGTTCTATATTCTGTCATCTCTATCCAGAAATGTCCCTTCTTTTTCTCTTGATATTTTCTTCCTCCCGAACCTTATTATTCCCTCACAGCTTTTAAACCCCAGCAAAATTTTCCAAACAATATAAAAATTACAATATGTTTACATTCAAATTTTCAAGAGAATAATTGCAATCAATATAAGCAAATAGAACAGCATATTTTCCATATCTTTTACATGATTAAATATTTTACATATTACAGGTGAAAAGAAAGTTGTCGATGGGACCCCTGTACAACCATACCCAAGCAACCTGTTATAAATTAACAGTGTAAGCAAGCAAGGTATTCTTCTCAGCCAGTTCTTTTCCTGGCAGGCTGCAATTTGTGGCTACAAAGAAAGGACCAATCATTCGATTCTTTATCTTGAAAGGTAATCTTATAAGAAATCTTAAAAGAATGAGAAATCAAATTTATATTAAAACCAGCATTATCACTTTTTATATCAGTGAGATTGAAGGAAGAAATTGGTACAAGGTATTAGTCATTATCTTTGAGTATCAACCAATCCTGAGCATCTAAACATGTCAGCTAATAAAAATTGGGCTGCTGTGTATTTGTGACCCCAATGTAATAAATTTATAACTCAACTATGTGTCCTTGTGATGTTTAGTTATTTTCCGGTACATTTCATCTCAAAGCTATTATCAAATCATCTAATCCAACTGATAGTTATTTTCAGGCTTGGTTGCAGCTATGATGCACACCAAAACCTGTGAATGCATCTTTTAACATTAAGATTGAAAATATTTGAGACAGCCTGGCTTCCAGGGACTCAATTGTTTTCCTTATTCATTAACCAAACTACAGTCTAAGTAGCCATGGAGGTGAAACTCAGAAGCCCTAGCTGTGTGACACTACCTTGTATTTATTTTCCATTATCAAAAGAATATTTAAAATAAGTTTATTATTATCAATTAGACAGTAAGTCTTAAGAAGAAATTATCTTCACAATAATGCACAGGCAGATATGTCCAGTAGAATGGGATGTTTCCACATAGGAACACACTGTATTACAGGCAGTGGGGATCTCCCCACACCCATTGACACAATTCAAGATACCAAAGAAAGATGGCAGCAGCAAAAATGAAAAGGAACAACAGAAGCAAAAGACATTCTGGAGTCTGTGGACTCCAGGTTTTACCTATCAGAGATTCATCCATCTGGGCTTCATCTCCTGGTGACCTGACTCCTGAACTTCATTTGGCATCTGCTGCTCCTCTGACAGGGCCACCTGCAGACTGTCAAAGCTCAGCTCTCCTTGAAGGTCAGCTTCTCAGTCACTCCTGATTTCTATGGAAAATTAGTAAACGTGCAGCAAAGGAAAACGGAATTAGATGATAAAACAATCTCTACCCACACTGTCTGGAAAAGCTCATGCATGTGATTAGCTAAACACTGGAATTCAGGCATGTCACATGACCTCCATATAGAAAGTGGTTTCCCAAACTCAGGAAGCGGCTGCTCACAAAGATGTAGCTATGTAAGGAGTTTTAAGTTCACCAGGAATGAGGTCCACACAGTAGTGCTGACTTCATAAAAAATGAGCACTGCAAAGCAATGTCACTGCTCTCTTAATCCCAGAATTGGAGAATTGAGTTGAAATGAACATGAAAATGAGTCTTTATAGAAAAAGGGATAATTGGAGATGATTTGAAAATGATATAATTTAATAACATTTCCCCAACATTAACATCATGATATGATTCCTCCAGCACATTAACAAATAACCCAGGACCTGACACCTCCAGGCTCCACTACAGAGCTTGCTATAAAGCAGGAAGACATGCAAATGGGGCCTCTCTCTGCTCATGAAAAGCAGCCCAGTCCTGACCTTACAGCTCAGGCAGAGGAGCTCAGCTGTGGAACCCAAGACTTTAGGGATCAGCATGGATTTGGGGTTGAGCTGCATTTTCCTTGTTGCTCTTTTAAAATGTAATTTATGGAGAGCAGTAGATGCTGACTGTGTGAGTGGACATTAATATGAGGGACAATGGACATGTGTGATGATTTCTTGACCAGGATTTTTTGTGTGTTTTCAGGTGTCCAGTGTGAGGTGCAGCTGGTGGAGTCTACGGGTGGCCTGGTGAAGCCTGGAGGGTCCCTGAAACTCTCCTGTGTAGCCTCTGGATTCACCTTCAGTGACTACTGGGTGGGTTGGGTCCGCCAGTCTCCCGGGAAGGGGCTGGAGTGGGTTGGATATATTAAATATGATGGCAGTTACACAAACTATGCACCATCCGTGAAGGGCCGGTTCACCATCTCCAGAGACAATGCCAAGAACACTCTGTACCTGCAAATGAACAATGTGAAGTCTGAGGACACCGCCACTTATTACTGTGCTAGATACACAGTGAATGATCTCAGTATGAACCCGGACATAAACCTCACTGTGAGGCCGCTCACGGCCACCAGACAGCGCACAGCACGCACAGAATATAGGTTCATCCCACAAACTATAAAGGCATAACTGAGCAATCTTCTCAGCAGCTTAGGCTCCTTTCATCTTATAGTTCCCAAGAAAGTCTCTCTAAATATTTGTGCTGTGGGTACTGTTGTCCTCAATACATCTCCTGTGTTTCTGCTGTTATATAAGAAACATGGATGCTCCTGTGTCTTTTTTTTCTCAGATTCAAGCAGATCCTCAGTCAGATTTCTTTATTAAAGTATCATTATATTTAAGGGGAAATCAAGGGTAATACTGGGCCCATTACAGGTGCATAAGTGCTCCCAAGGCTCAAACCTCCCCACCCCTCCCTGACAATGGTGCACATCAGGTTCAGACATGATCCAGCTGTGCATTTAGCTAATTCAGTTTATTATCCATGAATTTCATCTCTGCACATCATGAGATTTTTATAAACTTGTCCTTCAAGAAAGTTAGTTCAGTGTCTGTGAGGACATGGCATTTAAAGGATGGTTTATTGTCTTCTAATTGACCTGAATATGGGGTCACACCACCAGGAAGGCATTGAACATCTGCATCTGATCACATGATAATGTTTATGAGAAGTGAGATCTACTCACCTAGAAAATCTCTCACACACAATTGGGCATTTTATGAAAATCTAACAGAGATCACTTTGGGTCTGGGGGTGTAACATTAGCATTGACAGAGCCAGATCATTTCTCTAAGAGGCACAGAAATTCCAGCTTTGTCCTCTTAGAAGTTCCTCTCACTGTGCAATAAACTGAGAAAGTTTGTCTTAGTAACTTTTCTGTAGCTGAGATAAAACAGAAAGGCCATCTGTGATGAAGGAAACATGTTAAGAAATAAAGAACTTAGTTGGGATTATGGTTTCCAATCATAGAGTCCATGGTTCACAAGCTAAAGGCATAGTGGCTAGAGCAGACATTGATGTCTTATGGTTTGATCCACAAGCAGGCAGCAGAGAGGCAGACTGACAATGCCATGAACCTGTAGAACCTTAAGCCTTTCCTCCATTGACTCACTTTCTCCAAGTAATAGGAGGCAAAGTCTGGACAATATCCCTGAAGTTCACATAGAATCACAGACAAGGAAGCACCGTATGTATTTCTTGGAGCCCTTACAATCTGTAGTCAGCAGCTGCCTCAACATTGCTATGAAAAACTATATCTCAAATACTCACAGCCCAAGGATCAGGAATAAATAAACAAGACACAAATATGAGATTTGCAGGAATGATTGAATAGACATCCAATCAGCCAAGTCAAGATCTACAGGTGTTATAGTATTAATTTTTCGAGACACGGCTTCTCGTTGAAACCAGTATTAATAGGTATATCTCCAAGAGCCAATAGTTAAAATCTGAACCACCTTCTATGCAAAGGCACGGGAAGGAAAATTGAGTGTGAACACAGACACAATCCTCCCTGTGCTCAAGACCAGTAGAGAAAATGAAGTACTACTGAGGCTGCTGGGAACTAGCAGACATCCCTTGGAGTATAGGAGGTTGGGGACTGTCCCATGATTTCCTCACAAACAGGCTTACCGCTGTTTAGATGTTGGAATAAGTGGCTTCCCCTTCCTGCTCTAACAATCCTTTGGAGGCTCCCCCACAATATCATATTCTATTAACTACTGTTTGTTTAGTTTCTAATAAGTGTATCAGTTTTTACCTATGGGGAATCTAAAGCATCCATTTGGCACATTGTATCTGATGAAATAAACATTTTATGAACAAACCTTTCCATATTATTCAATGTGTCTGTAATTCTAAGAGTGGTGATGTTGGTTAGCTCAATTCAAAATCTAAGGGAATTCTAAATCATCTGAAATCCATTCTCTTTATTTTATCACAGGTTGAAGAGTAGCCAGAGCTTCCATGATTAATGTTATTTTACACAGTTAGTGGAACAACAAGTGGTCTATGTTTCAGGCTTCCAACATGTGAGTGTCTGTAATAGGGCACACATGGTTATTATTTTTCACACAATTATTGTTTGAGATTGCATCCTTGTAAAGATTACTTTCTGACTCAGTGTCCCATGTAGTGATGTCTTTGAAGGTGTTTTCTGTACCTTCAGCTCATGAAAATGTCTGAGGGACCATTGGGTATAGGGGGAAATGCTGGCCACACCTGCTTGAAGGCTGGCACAGGTGACGCTGACCATGCTCACTTGGGCGTTGTCAGAGTGATGTAGCAAGACTTTAAATATGAGGGTCACATGCATGATGCTCTCTGTTCTCTCTCCTGCCTTGTGGTAAAGGACTGGCTCCGTAGTCTGAGTACTTCCTAATAAGCAATCTCTTTTTCTCATTAGTTCTGGCTCCATTGCAATCTGCATTAATTGTTGGGCTCATGCCAGATGATGTCATCTGCAGTCTCTCTATAACTCCCTTCCATTGGCCACAGAGGTCCTCATCACAGTTTTCTGCTAGTGTTTTCCTGTTCACATTGCCTGCATGCTCACTGCTGTGATTTCTAACTCAGCTTAACGTAGGAAACCTGGAGTGTTTACCTGTGAGTAAGAGAAGATCAATGGGAGAAGTGATGGTTGGTGTTGGTTCAGGGTTAAGGATTACTGTTTTCATGAATCTGGAAAATGAAAAGAAAGTCTACTTTTCCAGGCCTTAGCCTCTCTGGATACTATGATAGTGACCTCAGCCATGTGTTAAGAATTTTGGTGAAGAAACAGACTATTGAATGTGGGATTACTGAGGTCCAGATAATCACAACTCATTGAACAGTTCTGTGTGAAGGTGAAAACCAAGATATACACGGTTAGTTCCCTAAAACCAGGGAGAGGTCAGGACACATGGCAGCCAGTGACATACGGTGACCATAGTGAACCTGGAGACTGGGCAGACTCTTTACATAGGGTGTCTGTAGATTAGTTATTCAGTATCTCTTAGATATACTGAATGAAACACACAAATTCTTGAGCAATATCTAATGAATGTGAGATGACCTATTTCTGCTTTTATTTGGGCAAATAATCCAACAACTATATGAGCCCAGTTGATACAAACCTTAATAGCACCAGCCAGGGTCTCCTGATTATGGTCAGTGAGAACAGAGTTTTAAACAGTCCAGGATGGAGAGGCCACAGCATGACTGATACTGTGACAAGTTTATTATTTTTAAACTCAGAATGATAAGAGTACAAAAATTGTAAGGACAGCAGGGGGCACAATGGAGATATTAATCCCTAGGATGGAAATCAGATGATGATTGGAGGGACTCCAGAGTCTCTGTGGACTCCCTTCTTAAAGACTATCAACTGAACAACTCCTGCTACACTTGAAATGTGAAGTCAAGAATTTTCAAACAAAGTAAAAATTCATTGTTAAATATGGCATAGATTTGTATTTTCTCAGTTTATAAAAATATTCATTCATTTTGGATTTTTGTTAAACTTTTTTTTCATGAAAAATATTGTGATGAAATTCTATGCCCAAACCTCTCAGATATTTTCCATATTCCTATCAGAACTCTAAACCTTTTTCTATTGAAAGCAAAAGAATATACAAAAAGAAAGGTATTTAGATAAAGAAAAAATTCACCAGTAACACACACATGCAACATGCTGAAAAATAAAGCATTAATATCTTACAGATGAAAGAGTGAAATTTCTCCCAATTTAGGAGGTTTTGTAATTTACATTAATAATTTCACCTATCACTACCAACACCTGTGAATTTGTCAGGGAAATGAAATAATTTCTCAGGCTGGGATTCTATTTGTAAATTGAGGGATGAGGCTTTGATGTTATTTCCACAGGGTCTGCACAGGTCTCAGGAATGGCTGCTTCCTCAGACAGGATAAGGATTTGGACCTCAGCATCCTGCTGCCTGACCCAGGTGTCCTCCACCTCCTTCTTTTCCAGCTGGACTAGGTTCTTATCTAAGAAGCAACCTGCTCATGATTATGCAAATCACATGAGTCTATGAATGTAAATACAGAGCTGTCCCTGCCACCAACAACATATGATCAGTGTCCTCTCCACAGTCACTGGGCACACAGGTCCTCACCATGGGATGGAGCTGGATCATCCTCTTCCTGGTGACAGCAGCTACAGGTAAGGGCTCTAAGTTCCACACATGAGGAGGGGCCATGCACTCAGGTGACAGTGACAGCCACTCTGCCCTTCTCTCCACAGGTGTCCACTCCCAGGTCCAGCTGCAGCAGTCTGAGGCTGAGCTGGTGAAGCCTGGTGCCTCAGCGAAGGTGTCCTGCAAGGCTTCAGGCTACACCTTCTCTTATAATTATATGTACTGGGTGAAGCAGAAGCCTGGACAGGGCCTGGAGTGGATTGGATATGTTTATCCTGATAATGGTGATACTCAGTACAACCAGAAGTTCAAGGGGAAGGCCACACTGACTGCAGACAAATCCTCCAGCACAGCCTACATGGAGCTCAGCAGCCTGACATCTGAGGACTCTGCTGTCTATTACTGTGCGAGAGACACAGTGTTACAACCACATCCTGAGTGTGTCAGAAACCCTGGAGGAGCAGGAAGCTGCCCGGGACTGAGATGACACAAAACATCACCCTGGGACTTACTCAGAAATGTTCAACCTGAAAGCCCTGTTTCTGCCTCCTCCTAACCATCCTGTAGGAGGTTTTTCAATTTTTCCAAGTGACATCTGAGAATGAAGTGTTGCTGACTGAGTGTGTCCTGCGGTTCACCAGACATTGAGGAGATCTTTATCAGTGACCAACTCCATGGACATGCGTCCTTAATGACACAAATATAAGGAGCTGTGACAGCACATTATGACATGAGTGTGTTTGTGCCTTGTGGGGTGTGTGTGCATGTGTGTTTGTGTGTGTGTGTGTGTGTGTGACTGTGTGCATGTGTGTGTGAGTGTGTGTGCATGTGTGTGCACGTCCGTGTGCGCACTTGCATGTGTGCTGTGTGTATGTGTGTGTGAGTGTGTATATGTGTGTGAGTTTGTGTGAGTGTGTGTGTTTGTGTGGTGGTGGGTGTCTGTGTGTTTGAGTGTGTATATGTGTGTGAGTGTGTGTGTGAGTGTGTGTGTTGGTGTGGGGGTTGGTGTATGTGTGCAAGTGTGTGTATGTGTGGATGTGCGTGTGTGCATGTGTGTGTGTATGTTACTGTGTGTGTGTATGTGTGTGTGCATGTGTGTGGGGGGGGGAGAAGGAGAGAGAGAGAGAGAGAGAGAGAGAGAGAGAGAGAGAGAGAGAGTGATTTAAATCAAAGAGATTAGAACTGTAGGTGAAGTAGCTGGAAATACACTATAATAAGAATTTGGCCAGGAAAATAGATCAGCAATATCAGAACAAACAAAAACACATGTCAAAATTCAGCTTGATGTACTTAACAGCACACCAAATACTTTAGTAGAAGTTGTTACCAAAGATTTGTGTGGAGTCACTTTACGTTTCCTCATAATTTCAATTCTATATGCTAATTTATATGTAAGTCTAATCCTGGATTTCTTTGTTAGTAGTAATCACATTTTTTTCAATTGAGAGATGAAGATGACCCGAATGTCACACTGTGAAGTCCTCTGGTATAGAGTCTGTTACTCTCTCAGCATTCTGGGCTCCTGCTCACATAACACTGGGCCAGAGCAGGGGGATCCTGACCTGATGATGTTAGAGGCCTTGATGTCATCAGGAGCCCTGGGTGATCATTGCCTGTTTCCTGAAATTGGATTGTCTCTGCA